ACTAGGAGCAAGGACGCTACTAGGGGCTCCTGGCATCGCTACTAGGAACAAGAACGCTACTAGGGGCTCCTGGCATCGCTACCCGAGCAAGAACGCTACTAGGAGCAAGAACGCTACTAGGGGCTCCTGGCATCGCTACTAGGAGCAAGAACGCTACTAGGGGCTTCTGGCATCGCAACTAGGAGCAAGAAACGCTACTAGGGACTCCTGGCATCGCTACTAAGAGCAAGAACGCTACTAGGGGCTCCTGGCATCGCTACTGGGAGCAAGAAGCTAATGTTAACAAGAAGCTTTGAAAAGGGCGGCGACACCCCAGCTGATGGCCTGGTCACTACAGTGTCACCTTCGGCACCCACAGCCTTGCTCGGGATCTGGCATGGTCCATCCTGTCAATCCTGGACGAGGTTGGTGTCGACATTTCAAGGCGTGCAACTTGCAGCGCACTCGTGTCATGCCACATGCAGAAAGCCACTGCCATTGTGCAAGAATCTTCACCAGCTTTCTCTTTCGCGCCCACCGGTGGGCGAGCCTGCCATAAGATCTTACGCCAGCATAGGAAAGCTCCTTGTCCCAAGACAGTACTGTATGTTGGTTGATTGACCTCCTCGGGGTACCCGGGGCTGAGGCGGGACATCAATGTGCTGCAGGAGTCAAAACGCAGGATTGGCATCCATCGAACAATGGGAGGCTGTTCTGAGGGGTTTCAGATTCCCTGACAATGAAGGGCACTCTTTTTGCTATAGGATTCCCTCGAAATGGGACCGAGTCACAATGCATGGAGGGTCCGCATATTATATATATCCGGTTTCTTTTTGAAGAGTCAGATGGTTGGGTTCAGATCCGGTTTGGCTCACCACCCGATCTGGCCGCGAAAGCATTGAAGGCTAAGAGCCACCACCTGAGTGGAAGAGGTTTGATTTACCAGAAAATCCTTTGCTTGACGATCCGAAGATCACACATTGAACGGCCCATGCGATCCTTTTGTCCCGGAAGAAACATGAGATGTCGAGGTGTCGAGGGAAGGTCCTGTATTTTCTTTGTAGAAGGTCTGTTCGATGCTTCATGCGTCATATACACAATACTTGTCCCTTCGGCTGACTACCCATTTGCACTTGTATTGAGTGAATCTTTTGGGGAACCTGGGCACCTTCTGCAGTTCAGCACCATTCATGCAAGGAAGATCAAGGAAGCATGTTCATCTTTTTTTTTTGGTGTGTTTTTTGAACCCTAGAGTATTATACAGCGTATAAAGATGTTTATTTTTTGGTGTGTGTGTGTGTGTGTGTGTGGTGGTAACTATGATGCCTCCGTGGGGAGAGTGCAGGCTTGCTCTGGCCTGCGTTTCTATGAGAGATTCTGAACAAGTTTGGTGCTTAGTCACGTTGTCCTAAGTCACGTTGTTCTTGCTTACCATAGACTCTAACCGACCTACGATCAGACATTGGTCAACGTCAGCGAAGGACTGAACACTCAAGTGGGTGGAGTGTTTCAAGCTCGCCATTGATGTCCTCATTGCTGGAACTTCAGAAAGCTTGTTCAATGTATGAGGATGTACCGTACATGCAACGCTGGAAGGAAGAACCCAAGGAGCTCCAGTGATGCAAACCAACACCAGAACAATGCTGGACATTTCTGGTTGCCTGACTGCCCAGAATGGCCCAGATAGAAATTTAGGGTTTAGGGTTCTCAGTGGTTCATCAAAAGGCGATGGGCCTTCAAACCAGATCCATGAACCTTTCATGCTTAAAGTAACTAATTTGGAAAGCGGTGGAGATGTTCAGAACAACGATGACCATTCCGGAGTTCCAAGGGCCACATCAAGGCGAAGCAGGCGAGGACATCGGCGTTCCGATGGCGGAAATAATATCATTAAAGGTTCATTCCACGTTCGGACCCCCTAAAGGGGGGTTATTTCAAGCAGGTCCACAGGTCGCAGGGAACGGGAAGAAGGTCCACAGGTCGCAGCATCGTCCAAAGCCATCAATTGGAATGACCTGGCCCTTTTCCAGGATCTTCAGTTCGTGACCCTGAACAGGTCACGACCTGGTCACTCACAGACTCCAAAGAGGTCACGCTGGCCTCCAACCAATAGCGATGAGTAGCGATGGCCTCCAACTGCACGTGTTACCAGTAGTTTCGCTACTCACTCGTAGCGATGCCCTTGTTGCGTCGGTAGCTTCAAGGTCCTCGTGGGAGATCGGTCTTTTTGGGTGTCCATGTTGGTCCCTCACCGTCTCGGAAGTACCGTCTCGGTTGGCGGACGGTACCGAGTTTCTCGGTTTGCATGAGGCAAACATATATCGAAAGGCACCTGGGAGGTGAAGATCGTGTCTTTAAATGTGCAAGTTTTACTTCATTGATTTACTGCTATTGGAGATTATTGGTGTGTCATGATCCTCATCAAGACCGACCGTACCCATCGCATGCGTCTTCGCTTGGTTCACATGGCCCCCTTTTGCCAAGAAGGACGGAGTTGCCACAACCCCGTTTTTCAGTTAGCACCGTGTCAGCAATTTTCCTTCTAGCGCATCAGATGTCTTGATGTTCAAAAGCAATCAATGTTTCTCATTAATTTGGTGTGACTTCCGAAGTCTACCTGAAGCATCATGCTTCTTTCCTTTCTTGCGGCCTGCGACACCTGCCATCGCTTCCGATCGATGGCTGGAGATCGATCAAGCGGCTTAAGCGTGGCCTTCCAGGAGAGGACGAGTTGCTTGGCAGTCTTCGGGCACGGCTGTCCTATAGTTTGAACAGAAAGAACAGAGACGTTAACAGCTGCTGTATCACGTAGTGTTTTTTTCATTTGTCCAAACCCTCGGTCTTTGGTGATTTGTAGAACATCCGGAGCTTCCTGGAAATCGACTTCTATCTTCTCGGAGCTGGAACGAAACAGCGAAGACCCGACATCCGAGAGGTGAGGCAACCTGGCAACACCTCACGATCCGAAGCTACGAAGTGCTGTTTTCCCAAGTGGCTACGCGGTTCACGCGGTTCTTTTTTTTAACTATCTTTTTTTCAATCGTATCTCTTGTGGTAGACCCTGGTTTCAACCAGTCCCTCAAAATGACATCTCAAGGTCCCACGGTGACACCTCTGGGTATCTCAGGAGCCTAACTTCGGCGCGATCCTAAGATCCTCAGGTTTTCAGCGATTGACATGTGGTCATGTTAGGATGGAGTGTCCATTAACATGTTGGTCGATTCCGTTGACCAAGTCTCAGAGAAACGCTGCTTGCTTCCTTCATGTCCAATCGCAGCTGTACATCCACAACCTCCAGTCACCCAGGTTGTTTTCCGATATTTGCTGCAAGAAAAACACGCTCCACTAGAAACAGGAAACCGTGGGCTACCTGAGAGGTGAGTTTGCACTGAGTAGGTTGGCAACATGTTTTTTTCTTTGCGGGTGTTTTCATGCGTATTCTATGTCAAAATCAATCGCGTATAAGTATAAGCTGAAGGGTCTGCAGGAATCCTTTATTTGGTCTCTGAGATCTTCGAACTCTTCCACTGCGTCTCGCAGTGCGGGTCGACTGCTTTTTGGCCATGGCGCACGGCCGCGTTTGGTCACGCAGCTGGCAGCTCGTGGGTTTTCCTGCACCGTGGCGCGTGGAAAGCTGTGGATTTGTCTCAAAGGGAGAGTACCTTTGCCCAATGAATCCGTTAAAACATTACAGTATTATATAGTAACCTTCAAAAGACCCCAAATGGGCAAGGAGCACAAATAATATTCAAACCAACCAACCAGTTTGATGGCACTTTTCTCAATCGTGCTGCCAGGGATCTTCCATTCTACCGCAAACCCGAATGACTCGGAAGTCCTAAATTAGTATTTATATGTATTTATTAATGTTTTTATTAATGATATCCAACAAATTCCTGTGGACAACCTTTGAGTTGGGATGAAGACTTTCATGCCGACTGTACCCTGGCACACCGAAGAAACCCGCCCGGTCCAAACCACCAATCCGATCGAAGGACGGACAGTACAACAAAACTGCGTCGTCCTCTTTTCATGCAGCCAATGCCAATACAAAACTGCGCTGGAAAACGGGCCAAAACAACACATAGCTTTGCCATCACCAGTCCAATGCGAAAGATGCTGGACTGGACTGTGATGCGTTCCATCGTCATCTTCACTTCAAGCGGTGCGCCTTCTGGGAATGTCGGCCAGCGTTCAAAGGCAGATCCCCCCGCCGGCATCTGACATGGAATTCATCCGATCCCAAGCGAGCTTGCTTGGGACGTGGAGGAATCCCGAATTCGACCCCACAAATTCCCTCGTGCGGCACGCAACAAACGGACCGCACCCAACAACATGCCCGTCTCACTCGAAAGAAGTCGAGTCCGATCGTGATTGATCGTCTCTTTTAAACACCAATTGCAAGGTACATGCACCGGCCACGGAGTTCCGTGAGTCGAGTCAGGTGCGAGTCGTGGTGTGTTTTGTTCGCCTCAACATCCGTCCACCAGTGGCCAAGATCGTGGCCTGGAAGTTCTGTATACTGATGATGTGTTTCTGATTCTTCAAGTGCCCCAGTGCCTCAAAGCTTGGCAAAAATAGAAACACTCAAAAGATCTGGATTAGCACTGATAAGCACACCAGTTGAAAACTGTGCTTGGCAAACATCTTCGGAACACGTGAACTCTTACCCCTTGTGCACCTTCTGCATAGATGTCGCATGAAGATGGACGTTTGCCGTTGGTCGAGAAATCTCTCGTGGCCGGCGAAACAGCGGGTCGAGACAGATCTCCGCCGCTTCACATGTCCGACTGAAGGGAGGGTCCAGATTCATCCTCTCCAGCGTCGGAGCGGGCCCAGGAGATCTGAACGAGAGACTCATGAGAGAAAGATTCGGTTCGATGAGCTCGTGGGCATTGTGAGATATTTGGTTGATGCTGGTGTGTTTGGTCTACAAATAGAAAACTCACAGCAAGAGAGGGCGGACACAACTTCTTGATTGGGTTTGCTCCCTGGTTGGTTTCTGAGCTTTTGAATGGCAAGGAACGGGGCTGTGGCCAAACCACACGTAGCCCATACGTTGCCCCTGACTTTGGCAGGTGCTCGTTATTTCTTTTTAATCGGTATCTCAAACATCCCCCCCAAAAAAATGCATACTGCAACATCCTGCAACCATTGAGGAAACTGACATTTTCTTTGCGTGTGCGGTTTGCTCTTTGCCGGCTTTGGCTTCAGATTGCGGTCAGGCAGGATAGATTTGGCACAGCCACAAGCTGTCGTCACATCCGAGCGATGCCTTCAGGTTCCATGCTTCAAGTGGGGAGGAGGCATCAACCCATGTAGCAAGTTCCGCTATCACGGGCACCTCAGGAGCTGTACCCCTTCAAAAACCTCTACATGGAGCTGTACCCCTTTGTTTCGCCACCTCAACGCTTGGCGTCAACGCACTGTCCGGCAACGCGCCGCCGCGATGAACTTCCCAGTGCCATGGCGTGCGCTTCTGCCGGTGAGAGCCGGGAAGACGGGATGGGATGGGCGAAGTCTTCATCGCTGTGTCGGCTGAAGCCAGCCATCCAAAGAGCTCAAACTTTGGAAGACCAAGAACACTGGTGGCTGAGGACCAAGAGCAGTCAGAAAGAAAAGAAGCACAGCTCGGTTGTTTTGACCGTCATGGTTCGATTACAGCTTGATTCATCCATGCGCCCTCAAAAGAGACACTATAGGAAAGCAAGAAGACACTATAGACAGAGAGAATAGACAGAGAATCCTTTCAAACGTGAAGAATTCTGCAGAACAAGACTCATTCCAGTTGTATTCCACCTGTCATGCACTTCTCAAGACTCATTCCACCGGTCAGAATTCCACCGGTCGTCCTTCCGCGATCGGATCGCTCGGCCAGGTCGATGCAGTGTCCACCTTCTCGGGCGCGGATGGCCTGCGGGAGATCTGCGACCTCACCGGCGCAGGCGCCGATGGCTGGCGCGTGCGGGAGGGTTTGCGAAAAGAATCCCAGATCTGCCAGATGATGCATGGTAGTGTAGACTCTTGATGAATAACCCACCCCTTTGAAGAGGATTTTCAGATTCCAATGGGGGGGGTGTATGGTCCTCAAGAGTCTACATTAGTGGGTATGGTCCATGTTTTTCCACGTTTTCCGCATGAAAGCGAAACTGCTTGTCTTCTCCCAGGCTGCGAGCTCTCAGGGGATGGCGATGTGCCTGCCTCGCACCTGGGCGATAATGAGATGCTGGGGACAGAAGAGGGTGCAGCAGGCTCTTCCCAAACAATATCTTGTCAGATCAATAATCAATGCATTAGCAATTACATGCGACTTAGCAACCTTCATGATTGGACAGACAATCCAAAATATCCATGGGTTTTGGTTGCCTGTCATATGTTGGTTTTGGTTGCCGGATCAGACCACAGGATGATGTGCAAATCAAAACCGAAGAAACAATGTCACTCACTAATTAGTCCTGAGTCCCATCCTTCTAGCTTGGTCTTTGTGGCTGGAAGGTTTGGTCGATGAAAGATTGATCATTTGATCAGATGGGTCAAAGGTCAAAGGGGGAGGCCACAGTGTTTTCGGTCTTAGAGGTAACCCCTGGTTGGTTGAAACCAATTCCAAGGATCAGCTGAGTGGATTGGTGATCTCTTCGCCAGTGATGTCAATGGCTGTAAGCGAGTCGCCGGACAAATCAGTTGAGAAAGACTTGAGCAGAATATGTCAAGCAGGAACCAAAGACTTTGTTGTCCAAATTATTCTGGCCTTTCGATGGCTTAAGCGTCACAGCAGATCAATGTTGTCCAGCCTAGGCTTGCTGACAAGATCCTGACAATCAGTGGGAATGTGGAGCAAAAGGAGGCTGCGGATCAGGGCTCATCGTTGTCACACATGCGCACATTGGCCACCAGTCTGGGCTCTGGATGTGGATGTAAGCCACGAGAAGTTCAAGAGCTGGAAAATAGACAATCAAGATACAGTATCCAACTCTTTACCCCAAAACATGCAGCCTTCGGAGTTTTTGATTTTTAGACATTTATATATAGACACAGTATGCATTATTACCCATACACTCCATGTATGGAATATATGCCTACATTGACCCCCCAAACCACCCCAATGTAGGCATATATGGCATACATGGAGGAGTCCCCCAAATTCCCAAGAAGCGTTTGGTGCAGTGCTCCCTCCGCGCTACCCAAAAAAAGGCGGCATGCCGGCGAGTGGTGGACAAGCTGCGGGTTCTACAAGATGTGGTGGACCAGGAGCTGCTCCGAAGGAATTGCACGAAACACATCAAGGATCCGAAGTTTCTTGTGAAGGAAAACAAACCTTTGGTGGAAGCAATCAGCACGACACATGAAATATCTGAAACAGTTTCAAGGAGGAAGTCATTTCAACGAACGCAGTAGTTGCATCATGTTGCACCGGATTCCCAGTTAGCTCCAAGAGGTTCCCGGCTGCTTCCGCTTCGCCGCGAAGATCGACACGAGATTCACGCGTCGATTCGCACATCGACCGGCGCCAGGAGCCTGGTGTCTTTGTGATTATTGTCTCGCGCCAAGAGCAGATAAACAAAATTCTATATATATATATATATGTATAATGACCCTATAGGAATAAGGCAGAGAAATAACATTGAAAGTTCTCCTTGTGCCACCAGCTTTCGTGACGCTCTTGGACGTTCGGTCCGGTCCGACGGGACCGACGGCACCCAGGTGCCCTCCAGCGCGGCCCCAGCGGTGATTGGCACCAAAGGCTCTCAAATCAAAGAGGCCATGGAACGGAGTACAGGAGACTTGCGTCGTTTCGGGGTTGTCAAACACTCGTTTTTTAGTGGAAAGTAGGCAAACATCACGTAGTTTTTCGATGTTTTTCTGCATTTCATTTTTCTGGACGGTGTAGCCAAAGCATGCCAAAGCTGCTTTTCTATGCTATTTCGGGTCGCCTGCCACTCAAGACAAGCTATTTTTGTTTCTTTTTGATCCTTTTTGCTTTTGTCAAGTGCTCCCACTGACGACAATTTGTTGAGCCATGGACAAGGTCGTAGCGGTACTGGCTTTGAGCCTGTGGAGCAGTGAAGCTTGTACCATGCAAGTAGTCTCAACGCTTGATGGGCCACCAGGTAGCAGCAGTTTTGAGTCTATGGTTCTCTCGGGCAGCTATGCGTTCTCCATCAGCAGCTATGGTACCATGTACTTTGTCTCTTATGACATCTCCAGCCCAACAAGTCCATCCTTGGCAGGAAGCCTCGAACTCTATGGCAAGCCAACAAGCATGGCTGCGGATGGCAGCTATGCCTTCGTGACGGTGGAACCTAATGGCTTGATGGTGATCGACATCTCTGCACCAAGTAACCCAACAGTGGCTGGCAACATCACAGATCCCACGTTCACTACTCCCACGGCTGTGGCAGTGAATGGCAACTATGCTTACATCGCCAGCTGGGAGGGTTGGTTGGTTCCGGTGGACATCACATCCCCAACATCGCCACAGGTGGGGACCTCCCTGAAAAACCAATCAGGTGGAATGATGCGAAACCCGGTGGCATTGGCCGTCACCGATGGCCTGGCATTTCTGGCGAGCATCAGCGAACAGAACGTCGCGGTGGTCAACCTTTCCAATCCCATGGCACCTGTTTGGACTGGACCTTACACCGATGGCACCATCCGAAACGGCAACACCTGGTGGGGGATGCCTGTGGAAGTGCCTACCCGGTCAATGCCGAAGAGTGTGACGGTGCGTGGAGACTACCTCTTCATCGGTTACTACGCGGAGGATGCAGGCCTGGTGGTTATGAACATCTCCACACCAGATAGCCCAGTGCCATCTGGCGATGCGAAGAAAGACCAAACCTTTGGGCTGAACATGGTTCAGAGCATGGCACTTCACAATGACATCGCCTACGTCGTGGCTTCTCAGTGGGTGGTGGCTGTGGATATCTCCGATCCAAGCCCGGGAGCCACCTTGAACGTGACGGGTGCTTTAAATAGTTGGGACTCAAATGCATATCCAAACCCGTCACAGCTGCATGCAGCGCGGGGATCGGCCACGGATGGCCAGTACCTGTATGTTGCTACTGCTCCTGGCCTTAGTGTGGTGGAGGTGGTGTCCTGTGGCGGGGGCACTATCACCACCGCGGAGTCCACAGAGTCCACAACCACCGGTCCGGGCACTACGGGTACTATGACTCTTGACAACAGCAACACGGGCACCACGAATGGCGGTACCGACAACACTGGCACCACGAACCAGGACACCACGCCCGAGGGTGACTCGGGGCCCGACGGCGGCATCATTGCGGTGGTCGTTGTGGGTGGCCTGTTCGTGATTTGCTTGTGTGTTGGAGGCGTTGTGTGCATGCGTCGGAGAGGTGAGGAAGATCCACCCGCAGATGCCTCTCCTGAACTGGAGAGTCCTCCGCCAACTCAGGAACATGCGACTGAGGGGCCTCAGCCTGAGCCTCAGCCGGCGGAGGAGCTCTTCACTATTTGAAGTCATTGAAGTTAGACGTTAGAACATGACCTAACGGAACCCCAGTGTTAAACTTGTGAATCGAGGCCTTAAGGGCCAGCTGGACTGGCTTAAAGAGGAAGCTTTTTGCAGAAAAAGAACTGTGCAGTGCATTCTCCATCGAGGTCCCACAGTTTTTTTTGAGCTTCGGTATGAAGTGATCACGGCCGACGGCCGTTTCAGTGGGGGAACCCCCCCTCAAAGCATCGATGCATGCTCTCCATCTGGTCGAGCTCTCCCAAGCAGCTCTCCCAAGCTTGGTTTCTCCAGGTCATCGAGCTCTCTGGCGCTGAAGTGTCCGTTGCCAAAGAGAGCATCATTGGCCCAACTGACGAGTTCTGAGCCGAGTTGAACGACCGTTTGGTGACCGTTTTGGACCATGGAGCAGGCAGGTCGTGGAAAATTCCAAGGGCTTTTCATGGATTTCTCATGATTTGTCCACGTCGAACTCATTTGGCAGTTCATTGGCAGTTTTGTGACATGGAAGGTGGTTGTGACATGCTGTGAAGTCCATGTTTTACGAGATTCTATGACGGTTTCTCTACACTCCTCCGGTTGCTCATGCTGGTTCGCGCCCACTTTGGGAGAGGAAACCATCCTGGTTCCAAGCTCAAACTCCAGTTTTGCCCACAAAAAAGATCCAATCTAGCTACCCTGAAGATCCAACCAGGTTCTAAGACCTCCCCCCAAAAATATGTTATCAACTATAGACTATACAGCTGAATAGCGATATAGCATCGCCGCATCGCACTTAAAGCATCTTTAAACAATAGCTTTAATTTGAATTAATTTGCTTTGATTTGATTTGCTTTGATTAGTAGTAGTAGTAGTAGTAAGTAGTAGTAGTAGTAGTAGTAGTAGTAGTAGTAGTAGTAGTAGTAGTAGTAGTAGTAGTAGTAGTAGTAGTAGTAGTAGTAGTAGTAGTAGTAGTAGTAGTAGTAGTAGTAGTAGTAGTAGTAGTAGTAGTAGTAGTAGTAGTAGTAGTAGTAGTA